TTGTCCATAATTCAAATTAACAGACTTATAGGAAGTTAAGCAGTTGGACAAATAGCATATTCTAGATATCTTTATTAAGATACTACTCACAGTGATCGGTTAGTTGATTTGCCCTGGAGCTTGACCCTACGCATCACATAACACATACGGGTCACAAATAATTCAATCCGTTTTTTAATTTACATATTCGTCTTTAGGCTTTATTCTTATCCCTTTAATTCATTTACAAAGCTTAATGCATGCCTAAGAGTACTTAGAAGTGAAAGAGAATGGAAAACGAAACACAGAATACACTTTCAAAATTTTCAAAAACAGTGTCCTGCTCGAGCATGGACTTCCCCGCTCGAGCGGACCCATGAGGCCTGCAAAAGTACTGGCTATGTCAAATTTACGCTCGAGCATGAAGTCGGGCGCTCGAGCTAAATGCCTCACTACATGGCTCCCCGTTCGAGCGTGAACTTCCCCACTCGAGCGGACATCATGTCTGCAGAAAATACTGGTAGCTAATATTTTACGCTCGAGCGGCGGTTTCTCTGCTCGAGCGGACATCGAAATTTCTGGATTTTCCAGAACTTGTTCTTGAGCTTCAACTCGACATTCAAAGGCTCTAAACACATGATTTTGGCTCAAACTCCACATATATATGTATCAACATGGTACAAACACCAAATTACAACATTATGAAGCTCAATTTCACAAATTAATCACATGCATGTCCCAATTTACATCAAACTCAACTCCAACATAACAAACTCACACATTCAAACTCATACTCTTAGGAATTGTACATGCATGTGAGATATAACTTTCATTACCAACTCAAATGGTGCAAATTGTGATTAAAAGCATGAACTCTGGCCAAAATCCTACATGGATCATAATTTTCATGCTCAACTATACAAATTCATGACAATTATACACATGCATGCATTCCATGACTTCAAATTCATCAAATACAACACAATTTTTGTTCTTGATCACCCTTCAACTTTGAATTTGCAAAATTACAATTTAAAATCTATGAATTCATAGCCAATTGCTTACCTAGAAGCCTAATCTTCCCAATTTATGGTCAAATCTTGAGTTGGTCTTCAAATCATTCAAGTTCAAGATCAAAACTCCAATTGTTTTCCTCTCTCTCTCTCTCTCTGTGTGTGTGTGTGTCTCTGGCCGACCCTCTTTCTCTCCTCTTTGAGTTGATTTCAGCCAAATGAACAAAAAGAGAGGGGTTGGGTGCTTAGTGCCCCACTATATACAATTTCACTTAATTGCCATTCTCAACATTACATAATTGAGCACTAAGTCATTATTTTAATTCAATTAATCTGGTTTGGATCAATTTTCAATTAAATTTCACCGTAGGCTCTAAAAATTATACCAATCACAATGGCGTAATCAATTTCAGTTTCTATGGCTGATAGGGCCTTCAATTTAATTTCCAAAACAGATAATCAAACAGATATTCCTACGATGAACTAATAGAAATTCAAAACCACATATTTTCACGTAATGACACACAAAATCATATCAAATACGTAATCATATTCATAATAAGGACCAATTAGCATACTACGGAACAGGGTTATCACAAAACCTATAGGGGTAGGTTTGTGTCACGCCCCGAAAAAAAATTGGGCAGGGTATATCTATTTATACAACAAACCCACCTGATAGAGAAATACACATATATAGCTAACTATTCCATATATTCATTTCAATTTAATCCCAAATGCCAAATACATGCTGTTCACATCTCAGTGACCCAGTTTCAATCCCAAACATGCATTTTACAACAAGTATGAAATGGAAACCAAACAGATAATAAGTGCCCTACAGGCTTACAAATTTATCCAAGAACATTCTTGGTTAAACAAAATGGAGTTTCAACTCAACGCAAATATAATCCTGGGCTTACATTCAATAAATAACCATAAAATAAAAATGAAGCCTCAGCTCCGAGTCCTCCCAAGTTAGTGCCTTGGTGGAGACATAGCACCTATACCTGAAATGGTTTCCCTTATAGGGTGAGCCACAACCCAATAGAGATATACTACACAACATATGGACCATGACAAGACTAAAGAGGAGTATGCTCATGCTATGCTTATGATAAAATAGTTTATCTCTCTTTTTATAAAGTATGCAATGCGGAGATGCAACAACAGATATAAATCCATTTCCATTTTAAACCATATCTGTTACATGAATACAGGCTCTGTGAATATCTAGGTGAGTGTCTGCAAGTAGGCCCTAATGCACTACCACTGTCATTTTTACCGGTAAATTGGAAGGCTCGACACCTAACTGCGTAGTTCTACATCCCTCTACCTAGATTCACCAAGTATTCATCTTTTCGCAAACAGATACATTTCCAAACATTTCTCAAAAACATATACATTTCCAATGAAATGAAAGTAATGCAATGTCCAATGCAACAAATGAGGAATGTGGTTCAATTTACCTAAGTCTCATGCATTTCTATAACAACCATGGTTATTCTCCACCGATAGCCCAAAACACATATTTCTAAATAGATATTTAAACAATTAAATTCCAAAAATTCTGATAAATGCAATCTATTCCACGTCTCATCAAATATGAACAACTACACTAGTTTTCATACCACAATCACATCCGGTAACCTCTCAAGGTCCATTTCTAACCGTGTCGGTTTTATTCCAACAGATACATTAAGCAAAATAATACCGTTGATGCCCAAGAAAACATTATTTTCTTTCCAAACTCACTCTCCAAGAATTATTCAACTATGACATTCTATTTTAATCAAAAGCCCCAAAAGTAAAACATAATTCCTTTGTTTTCTTTAAAAATACTCTTTTGGTCGCAAACTGGTAAAAAATTCAAAACTGGTCAAGTCGGAGTCTGTTTTTGTTCAAATTTAAAACATACCTCTTTCATAACCTTACAAACATATTCCAAGTTTACATTTTTGCAATTTAGGCATCAACTCTTTATTTTTCTCAAAATTTCTCTTTTAAGCAAATAAATCACAAAATTTTCAAAATTTCTAATTAAATTATATACAACTCTAAGCTCCATATAATCAAGTAAAAGTACATAAAAAAGTGTAGGAAAAATCCCTACCTTAAGCCAAGAAGCTTTCAAAATTTTTGGCAATAGAAATTAAATATGTTTGGAGCCAAACGAAGCATTTTCCACCATCTACATTTTGATCCAAAGCACTAGGGATCAAAAATGACTTACACTAGATCAAACCAAAGAAAAACCAACTTGGAATCGCTTTTCTTTCTTTCCTCACGACAAGAACCCAAAAGTTGAACAAAATAATATAAATTATATATATATATATATATATTTTATCAAATCAACAATATTAATATTAGATATATTGTATAAACTAATTATATTTAAACAATGAATTCTATTTAGAATATTTTATTTGTAAAAATTAAAATAAATTATAAAACAAAATAAATATAAAAATTAAAATTAATTGTATTGGGCATATGTGGCGTGCGTAGTATGTCGCTTTCTCACTAGTATTAACTTAGATCATCTCCAACGGTGAATCAAAATTGACATCAGATTCAAATTTTGATGAAAAAGACACTTTTTTATGCTCCAACCGTTGCACCAAATGAATATCAAAATGAGAACTCAGCAAAAAAAGTATCAAACTGAGAACAAGATAGGGATTTTACCAAATCACTGTTACTGACCGTTGAAAGAGGTACACCGGTCAACCAGCCGGTTGCCCGGCCGGTTGACCAACCGGTCAACCGGTTCATCAGATTATGTGACGGGTTTGAACTGTGACGGGTTTGAACTGGTTGAACTGATGGGTTTGAACTGGTCCGTGGCCTAAGCGTTGTTGATGAACCGGTCAACCAGCCGGTTGACCGGCTGGTTGACCATCCGGTCGCCCGGTTTAAGCATGGGAATGGTAGGTTTCAACTGCTTTCAACAGGTTTGGTTTGAACAGGTAGAATTTCAGATAGGTTTATTTTTAGATAGCTTATTTTGTGGACTTGGAATAATTTGGAATAATTTGAAGGGTGATATAAATTTTAATTTCATTGAAAATATAATTCAAGTTGTTATCTTTTATATAAATATTTTAAAATTAGGCGTTTCAGTAAATTTACCGTTGGATTGACAGAGTCTTTTGATAATTTGCCGTTGTTATCTCATATACATATTTTAAAAGTAGCCGTTCTAATAAATTTACCGTTGCATGAACAGAGTATTTTTAAAATTTACCGTTGATAATGTGTTCTATAAAATATATCAGTTTTGTATATCAAGATGACAGAGTATTTTATTTTAAGAAGAGTATTACATTGTATGTTGTGAATTTTGTTTCTTCTGTGATTTTTCTCCTTTGAAACTTTAATTTATATTATCTGACTAAATTATCTGATTCTAAGGTTCAGTATTGATTGTATATCATTCTAATATTTTTTACTATTTTACATATTGTATGTACTGTATTTTTTTGATATTATGGAAGATTTTCAAATGTTTGAAGAATCATAAATGTTTCAGCACAACACTGATATTAATTTTATGTCGGAAACTTCGCGAGAATAGAACACGCAGAGCAGTGATAATCATTTCATCTCAGAAACTTCTCGTGTTTCTCGTGGTAAAGTATTTACAATTATAGAAGATGAAACTTTATGTAGATCTTGGTTAGCAGTCTCTCAAGATCCCATTACTGGTAATAGTCAGACTATGGTTATATTTTGGGAACGAGTACTTGTTAATTTTAATTCATAATTGAGTGGTGAATCAAATCGAAACCGTATTTCTTTGTCTTACCGTTGGTCTGCCATGCAAAAGGCAATTAATAAATTATGTGATTTTCTTGAACAAAATCAACTGAGGCAACAAAGTAGAACACTGAGGTAGACATGGTAACATTTATTTGTGTTATTAAATATCAAATTTCTTCTCTAAATGTATATTTGTTATTAAAATTGTTGTAATTTTTTTTGTAAGTCGCTGAAGCAAAGCGGATGTATCATGCAATACAGAAAAAACACTTCACATTTGATACATGTTGGGATATTTTGCGCCGAAGTTGTAAGTGGGATGAATTTCGAACACAATCCAAAAAGAGTACGCAACATGCTTATCCATGTTCTAATCCACCAACTGGAGAATCTGATGCATTTCAATCCAACCAGAATAATGTTCTGCACGAAGAACCATCTAATCCATCAACACGACCAATTGGTACTAAAGCAGCGAAAGAGAAGTTGAAGAATCAAACAACCCACGATAGTAGATTTGATGAAATGGCTGCCAACCAATCCAAAATGGTTGAAGTGTTATCAACTATTTCTGCTAGAACTATTGAGCGAGATGAACAAAAGGCGATCGACCGTAACCAGAAAGCTGCAGACCGTCGAAGAAGGGCCGAAGATAGGGAGGAACAACTAAAACTCCTATCTATGATGAATGAAAGAGAACAACGAAATGAAAATCATAAAATAATGTCAATGGAAATGACAAATTTAAATCCAATGCAAAGGGCGTACTACGAAGATCTTCAACGACAGATTTTATTTCGAACAACTAATAGATTGCCTTGAAAGGTTCTGTATTTACTGGTTTCATCTATTGGTGTCATCTATTGGAAAAGGAAACGGAAAAACTGTGTACAATTATATGAAATGTCTCACTTGCCTTTTTCATTTATGTAAAATTAGAAATTAATTAATTTGTTCTCAGTTTTTGTTTCTTAAGATGGTTGCGTTCTATTCTCTACTGCTTCTTTGGATACCATATTGATTGGTAAAAACAAAACACACCAATTGCTAAGTGGTTATCATGAATGAAATTCTTCTTCATGGATATGTCAGATAAGGGGCTCATATTTTTATTTTTCTTCTACAATTTTCTACAACTATCTAAATGGGTGTTGTTCTTCTGTTACGCAATTAAGTCCAAGGGCTACATCTTCATATTGTTATAGATGATTATAATTCCAAGGTTTTATAATTTCACCCTTCATTCAATCTGCATCTTATCTTCATCTCAATGAATCTCCTCTGTCTGATTTCTCAAATAAGAATATGTTGTACATGTACATACAGTATTACAGATAACTACTTACATATAAATACATCCTTTATTCTTTTCTTTGGTTATCATTACACCTTTCAAAAACTTTCATACAAATTTAAGTAATCCGAAACATTAATAACATATTACAGATTATGGTATGAGTGAAGCTCGAAAAGATGGTGCTAAAGTATTACCAAGGCAAGATCATTTTATATCACATAATATTACAAAATCAGTACATTCATAAAAGAAATTTACCTAACAAAAGGTTGTGAAAATAATACAAGACAAAACAATGGAAACACATAATGGCACACCGATCAACAGTCATTATCTGGTTGTAGTGGAGGAGGGAAGTAGTGATGGTATATGTCATTTACGCGATGCTCAATTCTATCAATGCGATTGTTTGCCACGTCATGACGTCTTCCAATGTCCAAACGAAACTCACCAAATTGTTCAATTAATGAGTTTTGTGCAGTGGCAAATGTCTCAAACTGAGTACCCAACGAATTGACCTGATTAGCCATTTGATGTTCCCATTCAACGCGTTGATTATAACGTTGTTCTTCTATGGCCAAAAAATCAGTCCAATATTGAGGTGGTTCAGTTGATGGCATCACATTGACAGGAGGATCTTGTGGACCATCATCTAGTGGGACTTCATCCTCTGAATCTTCTGCAGCATTATCATTTCCCATTAAATTGGCGGTGCACCAGCACGATTCACAGTATATTGCGTAATGGGTGAACGGATTTTGATCTCTATTTCATTTGCAAAATGAACCTTAAAATATTTGAAAATTTTTGTCAAGAGTGTCCCAAACAGTTATGATCGGCCCATTTCTTGATTTGCCAGCACCATTTCTTTCATAATTATGTAAGACAAATCTAACTTCTGCCCAACCTCAAAACAGTATAACAAATAGGCATTAATATATGGGACCGCATCATGATGTCCTTTTTCCGGAGTGACATTTTCTACAATCTACCGGTGGAGGATCCGAAGATAAGATTTTAAATGTCTTGCTTGTAGACTAGTTCCAGTAAATCTGTTCTGACATATAGTAGTATATACATCAGTACCATTACCGACAATATTAACTAACTCAGCCTCAGTCTGAAAATGGGTATTTTCATCACCTACCTCAACTCCAATAATACGTGCCAAAATAGGAACATCAAACTGTACCCTTTTCCTTTCACATATGACAAAAGAGTAAAATTTCCATCTTCTTTATGAGTAACTCTTAGGTGAACATAAAAAAGGGATACTAGCCGTGGATATACCTTTTAGGGTAAATTAATTAAATTTAGCTATCCCATTGATTCAAGTTTACTAACTAGTAGTGCATCATATTGAGGTGGCAGATTGACCCTCCTCCCTGTTACAATAGGTCGGCTTGAGAAATTTTGAAAGGCTAGTTCATGACTTTCACTAAGAAATTCATCTGTAGGATATGACTGATTTTGAGGTTGCTGTTGTTCGCGTCGTCGAGGGTTAGAACTTTCACCAACTTCTGTTCTCACTCTTTTAGTTCTAGGCATGATGTAAATATCTGTTGAATTTTAATAAAAATGTGCTATAATGAAGTAATTAACATAAACACTGTCTTTTAAAATGCTTACTGAAAACATGAACTTAGAATTAAAATGTAGACATGTATTTTTAATGAAGCATGGCCACTGAAAATTTAAGAACATAGTAATGTAGTATAAAAGCATGCAGACTCTCTATTCAGTACATATCAAATGAATGTAACATCAAGTACAAATCAAAATATTGTTCTGTAGTGCAGGTTTTAATAAACTATTTTCATTTTAAAAACATTAAAGTAACATGAAGAAAAAATCAAAATCTTGATCTGTAGTTGAGGTTTTAATAAACTAATGTCATTTAAAAAAAATTAAACTCAACTCTTGTTCTGTGGTTGAGGTTTAAATGAACTACATTAATTTTCAAGACATGAAAGTAAAAAACATTTAATGCTGCCTTTTGTTCTGTTTTGATGATCCTGCCTTGTTCCTCTGTTCCTACTGATGCTGCCTTGGTGATGATGTGGATTCACACTTGAAAATGTAGAGTGTGTGGTTAGAGGGCTTCAGTGAAAACATGTGAAATGTGAATGTGGTGATGGCAATGTTGAGCTGATATAGAGGATGGTAGGTGGTTGAATTGATAGGTGGTTCATATAATGAATTGTAGGTGGTGTGATCTTCTGAATGGTAGGTGGTTCAATAGATGATTTGCCACATATAGTACAATGACTGTAGGTTAAATGTTCAATGTGGCAGAAAAGTAGGTTGAATGCATCAACATCAAACTCATTTACGGATGGCACAAATAATTGATGCCACAAATAATGCAGGACAAATTTATGGAATGGCACAAATTATTGATGCCACAAATAATGTATGGCATAAATACATTGAATAATGCACACATAATGTATGCACAAATAATGAAAATGCATTGAATTTAAAACAAATATACATACAAATACATTGAATATACATACTGAAATGCATGCAATCAGTCCAATTATAAATATTGAAGATAAATCCTTACAAAAGCAATTATTCGAATGCACAAATAATGGCATGCATGATGAATCCCACGAGCCAGACCCTTACTTAATTGAATGCTTCATTTGATGAAAAAATTGAATGCTCCAATCCTCACTTCTTAAAAATGCCAAACCCTTAATCATCAACTCTTTTTAAAAATTCCAAACCTATTCCCAAAAGTTTGAGAATCACGAATTTGGTAAGAAGCTTTTTTTTTTGCCTTGATTTGATGAAACAAATGTAAAAGTTTGATGTAGATTGGAGGGGATTTTTAGTAAATTTGTCATCAAATTTTAATTTGATAAAAGATTGAAGATTCTTAGGAAATGTGTGATTCACTGTTTAAGGATGGAAGGGAATCAATGAGTAATGGTAGGAATATAAATACAAAACACGAGACAGATATGTCTCATATGAAATGTGATGTACATGATATGAGATCCACATATAATACTCATTTCATGTAAAACATATATGTCATATTCTATATTTGATATTTGTGTTCCTAGACTTATTGGGGAATCAATAGTAAAGCAAACTTGCAACTCCAAAATAGAATTATAGAACTCCAAAACAGAATTGTCATACTGAAATAAATTATTTTGATGATTGTCATAAATTGAACAGAGAACAATTATGAATATTGAAGATTGGATCACCACAATATCATATCTAATCACATAACTTCTGCGTTACTTGGTTAATATAGTGCATCATAATGAAGATTACAAACAAGACAACCTTTTATTTCTTTGCTAAACAAAATTACAAAATATATTTGTGGTGAATCTAGTTTTCACCGCGAAAATGCCATATATGTTTTATTAAATCATTACAGAGGGCATGATATGCATTTTTATCCCTAATACCTAAATGACGAGACAAAAATGATTCAAAGTCATTGGTAGGAGTAGAGGAAAGTTGCACTGGTGTGTTGGTAGATGAAATTTCATAATCAAAATCAAGGTGCTCCTCCCTCTCATCTTCAACAATCATATTGTGTAATATAATGCAAGTCTTCATTATGTTGGCAAGCATTTTTGGATCCCAAAAACGTACAACACCACCTATAATTGTGAATCGAGATTGGAGGACTCCGAATGCCCGCTCTACATCTTTCCTGGCAGACTCTTGCATCATTGCAAAATGTTGTCTCTTAGCTCCTTGGGGAGAAGAAATTGTTTGAACCAGTGTTGCCCATTGCGGGTATATACCATCAGCAAGGTAATAACCCATATCGTAACTATGTCCATTAACAGTGTAGTGGACAATGGGAGCCTTACCTTGGGCAAGATCAGAAAACAAAGGTGACCGGTCTAATACATTCAAGTCATTGTGTGACCCAGACATTCCAAAAAATGCATGCCAAATGCATAAGTCATAAGAAGCTACTGCTTCAAGAATAATAGTTGGCTTTTTTGATGGCCTACGTATTGACCTTGCCATGCTTTTGGACAATTTTTTCACTCCCAATGCATGCAATCTAAACTTCCCAACATACCCGGAAACCCCCGAACCTCGCCAATAGCAAGTAACCTAGCAATGTCAGTTGGTGTCGGAGATCTCAGATATTCTACTCCAAAGATTTCAATCACTGAATAACAAAATTGTTGCAAACTTTGAATCGCAGTGCTTTCCCCAATATGTATGTAATCATTAACTGCATCTGCTGCAACACCGTATGATAATATTCTCATCGCTGAAGTCATATTTTGTAGGGCAGATAATCCAACTACATGAGCTGCATCTTGTTTTTGAATAAAATATGAATTGTGTGCTTCGATTGCATTCAAAATTCGCAAATACAAAGGACGACGCATTCGAAAACGTCTCCGAAATATTGTAGCTGAATACACTGGATTTGCAGCAAAATAATCTGCAAACAATCTGTCATGACCTTGCCTTCTATCTCTGCGTATATACTTGTGACCTACAACAGAACCCCCTATTTTCTTTGAGCTATCACTTAGACTTAAGAATCTAAAGCATACTACTGGTATTCTGCTCATAAGCTGCTAAAAGTGTGATAATATATTCATCATCAGACTCCTCATCAGAGGAGGAGGAAGAAGAAGAGGATGAAAATGAAGTAAATATCATGGATTTCAAAGTATCCATTACCCTCTGTTTTTGTTTAAGATATGATCCTTGTGTAGTTGTCTGGCATATAAATAATAATGTGTTTATATGAGATTTTAGCAGACTGTCACAGCTCAATGGACATTATTTATTTACTGTTTTGGCTTCCGCCAGGCCCTGTACTCTGTTTTACTGTACCACTGTTCTGCAGGCCTTCGGTAATCTCGGATTACTGGCCGGTTACGGTGCTAAACCCATAAGGCCGGGTTTGGGTCGTGACATAAATGGAGGGAAATCAAAAAAATAAAATAAAATAAAATAAAGATTACCGGTTGACCGGCCGGTCAACCAACTGGTCGCCCCCTACTAGTTCACATCGGTCAGTTCACGTTGGTTGGTTCAAACAGTTCAGTGGTTAGTTCAAACAGTTCAGAAAGGTTAAAAAAAAAAATTCCTCTAACCGGTCGACCATCCGGTTGTCCTGAATGAGATTTGATGAAGGTGAACCGTTGGAGCGTGAAGTATCAAATTAAGGAAATGGCCATTTTTTAACTCAGATTTGGTGAAACATTAGGTGAACCGTTAGAGATGCTCTTACGTGGCAACACTATATTGGCAATAGATGTAAATTGTGGGACTTATATATTATTAAATATAATCAAAAAAAAATATGATTACCTTAATATTATTTAAATATCAAATTATTCAAGTCTCTTATGGCCTCTTTTTATTCTAGAATCTCATTTATAGATCTTTATGAATGGTTTATTTTTAACCATTAATGAAGGTGACAAATTAATTTTAATAAAAAAAAAAGTTTAAATGAGAAAACTAAATACGAAGAAACATATTTTAAGTAGCATATAACAAATTAATTGAGTATTTTAGGTAGCATTAATTTTCAAATCACAATTTGACAGCAAAAAACTCTTTTCAAAACTTATAGGGTAAAACAACATTAAATCCCAAATCAAGAAATGTTAAACTATTTAGTCCTGTTTGTTTGTTTGTTTGTTTTTTTATTTTTATTTTTTATTTTTATGGACCAAATAGTCCCATTTTGATGTTAAAGACCTTTGAGCCTATGATTTTAGAGCATGTTTGATTGGGTGGATTAGAGTATGGGATTGAGATTATTAATCCGTTGGCCCAATTATCCTATGTTTGTTTTAATATTTTAGTTTAGGATTATTAATCCAATGGATAATTAATCCAACAAATTTGTAGGATTATTAGTAATGGGGTAGGGATGGGATTATTAATCCAATAGATATTAATCCAATTGGATAATACTTTACTATTAGTCTTGTGAATCAAACATGACCTTAGTGTGAGTAGAAAATTGTGAGGGTAAATATGGGTTTTACGTGATGTTAAATTTACCAAAATGGCCAAAAGCGTATTGTAGTGTTTTTTGCTTTCCCTGCGTGATCAAAACGGAAACGATAAAGATGGAAAGTTCTCAATTTTGATTATAATGTTATAACGATGATAGACATTCAATTTCTTTGAATATTGTTTAATTCGGTAATGTTAATGTGCATTTCCAAATTAACATTCCATTCCCCCCTCCCTCCCCTCCCAAAACTCTAGATTGCCGAAAACCCCCTTCTAGCAATACATTACGACCATCGTGACATTGGGTCATTTCGCCATTTTTGTCTAGTGGTTGACAGTGAAGACCACAACTAAATATTGTCGGTGTCGGTGTTTATTGCTAGCACCCACGGTGACAAGTACGCATTTTGTTATTATTTTTTTTTTCTGGGTTACAAAATGGTGAAAATGTATGTGTAACGTTATATTTTGAAGCCTGTTTCTATGCGATTATACGTTGTTATAATGTTAGATTGTACATTGCATGTTACTTTGTAATGTTAGATTATACGTTGTTGTAATGGCAGGGTGGAAATCCAGTTATATTGAGGGTAGGGTCAAGTAGTGGCCCTTATTATATGGTATTAATTGTGATAATGTATTTGTGCAGCTGGGCATTCTTCATAGATTTACTCATGTATTTTCTTTGATTTTTCATCTTACCTTTGATGGTGTAAGTTGATTTTGGATGGATTCCTATCCTTGTAGGTGTTGTTGAGCTATTTTAATGCATATTACTATTCTGATAAAAAAAAAAAAAAATTGGGAACCATTTGCACTTGAGATAGTTGCAACATGGTATTTGTTATGATTGGGTTGTTTGTGTTGGTCTTGTTGTTTGTGTGTTAAAGTGGGTGAGGGACCCTTGCCTGTGAGGGTGTGTTTTTGGGTGTTAGGAGTTGATGGTTTTAACACTTAAAGTGATGTTTTTTTTTTTTGGTAACATTTTTTGACGAACATGTTTGTAAGGTGTATGAAGTAATTTTGAACGTCGTTTATTTGCATGATGATTGAGTTGGTTGTGTTTAAAGAAGCCACACAGCACATGAATCGCATATACCCAGATTCAAGCAGCACCACCCAAACACCCATGTACAATCCTAAAGCAATGCACACTGAATCCACGTTAAAAAATAAAACATCAATTGGAAAATATCAAAAATTCCAAAAACAGTCCACGCAATCCCCTTCTAAAAAAAAATAGTAATGTTATAACATTACCATACCCCCACACACTAGGGAAAAATCAAAATGAAATTACAAATAAAGGCAAACAAATAAATTCCAAACTCAATAAATCAAACAAATACAATATGTCAAAAATAAAAAGGACTAATTGATTAATAAAAAACACCTGCACTACGCCAAAACAGGGCATTAACGGCCGTTTTTTTAACGGCGGTAACGAAAACCGTCGTTAAAGGTACTATTAATGGCGGTAACGAAAACCGTCGTTAAAGGTATCATGGTCGGATGTTACGCTTCAATAGTTCAACCTGCAGACACATAACCAAGCACAACATCTCAAAATTACATGTCATTCATTTCATTCGTTTCACTTGTTATTTACTTGATCGTTTATTCCTATTCGTTCTTTTATTTTCCTTGTTTCATGCAATGCAAATGCATATGAAAAACACTTGAAAACCATACATACGAAGGTCTGGAAGTTAGAAAATGAAGAGAAAACAAAACCGAAAATCTGCCCTGAAAACCGCACGTGCGGGAAAACTGTCCGCATGTGCGCCCACACGTGCAATTTTGGCAGAATGTTCATCTTTCTTTTCTCTGTATTCCGCATATGTGGTTCTGGGCCAAAAGCCGTCAGAAAATCTTCTTTTACATGGAAACTCATTCTTTTCAAAATCCAACTTCACTTTTATGCAAATCAAGGCCCAAAACCTTTAAAAATGACTTGAATTAAACATTTCTAACTTCAAACTCAAGTCATAACCTCAAACAAAACTCAAATTTCCATGTAAGAACTCAAAACCTTGAACTTAGAGTACAAAATCATAAAGCATATAAGTTTGAGTTCAAATCTTGAAAACTCATGGAGTTTCCTCCTCAATTCTCATAAAACATGCAAGAAAACATGAATCTCATGAAAATATGCCAAAATCTTGAGCTAAATTCTTCAAATCTAACCATGCAAGTACCTATAGATGTTCTACTTCAATTCACATCACACACTCTCTTAATCAAGCATAATGTCTTTCTTAATTAAGCTTAAATTCAAGAGGATAGGAGTGTAGATGACTCAAATCTAAGAAATTATGAGAGAAATCCTACCTTAGATGGATAATTTGTGAAGATCTCCTTCGAGTCTCTCTTGTTCTTTTTCTTCATCTTCTTTCTAGAATTCTCTAGGGTTTTCTCTCTCTCTTTCTCAAATTTTGACTCCAACAATACCCACT